ATGTTGATTGTTAAACAGTTAGGCAGTTCTATTAGCACATTTATTGTTCGTAAAAATAAGTAAAATTATTTGTACTCTCTCAGCAATTGAGTAAACCATTATTACTGATATGCCACTTTTATGCCGTCTCTACAACGAAATAAACTACACCTTACTACTTTAAGGCGACCAAAGAATGTCATCTGATAACAATAATTGAAAGCCACAGGAATAAAACTAGAATTGTTACAAAGAATTCCTTTTTAAAATAATAATGTAAAAATTATGTTAAATCGGTTTTGTATTTTTGGTGAGCCACTGTATGGACTACATAGATAGTAGCGATGTAAAACTTGGAGGTTATTATCTAGGTAAAAATACCTTAAAAATAAGATATCATTCGACCCATCTTTCCATTTAAGATTTCACTAGTGAGTCTTACCCCCGATAGACGGTTTCCGCTCAGGAGGTGAAACTGGCAAACAAAGTTTCTCCCTAAAATCAAAAAATGACGGGTCCGAGCGTTTTTAGTAGATGACCTGGTTTCTCACCAGCCTTACAAGAGAGCTGTTTTTGACTCTAAATGACCGTTCTTTTCTAACGATGATTGATCGGGAACAACTTTCAAATGATCTCCCTTCTCCCCTCAAGCATTTGCTCAATAGGATATGTACAAAGCTCTTGTTTTGATAATTGTAGACCGTTATTAGTCGTTCTTTTTTAACGTCATAGGGTTTTATACACCAAGAATAATAAACCCTTAAGTCCAAGTTCAACGCGTTATCTATGATAAGTCACGGTGACTTTTTTATCACAAAAATACAGCTCCGAACGATAATATTTTATCAAGGCATCCTGTCGTTATACCAACTTGGTCCACGTCAGATTCTTCATTTCACTTATTGGCAGTGTTTGTCCACGTAGTGCTCCGCACCCAGTTTAAAACTGCCCCGAGGATTCGGCGCCTATGTTGTCACTTAAAATTTTAAAAATAATAGTAGTTGGATGTCCAAAATATGAACTGTGATTGGTGGATTTCATTTTTTGCAGTGTTCTCACTACCTAGAATGGATATGAAATATATTCGTTCAGTTGAACGCAATGACATACTTTTTCGTTTTGTAGTCTCTGCGTAGATAAGCTAATATCCATGTGGGTGTAGCAAAAAGTAATTTAACCGATTTAACAGATTTATCAGATACTCATGGCAATATTTGAAACTAACCAAATATTGCTAGTGATGGTGATGCTGTTACTGGTAACACCCTACCTTCAGGTTTTTTATATTACATTGAGGATTTCATATCAGGCACTATGCCTACTAAGTTAAATATTCTTCTTTTTTCAAACAAATGGTATATTCAACTTCTATTTATAAATTTTTACACAAAATGTTTTAGTAGGTTTTTCTTTAATAACTTATGCATGGTACTGCAAAGTATTCTAAAGTTAAGAATTTAGTAATCTGCTTATTTAACAGGTACAATAAATTATTTCAATGCTGCCATTATAAGTCAAACCCCCGTAACTAACAAATATTTGAGGTTATTTGACCGTTTTTCTTTTTAAAAAAATCCCAGAAATTTTTATTCTGTATCCTAAAAAGTAAACTTGGTTATACACTGTAGGACATTTGTATCATTAACCTTTTAACCCATAGATAAACACAAAAAAATAAATCAAACTTATTTTTAACTAAATTGCTGGCCACTCGAACTTACACAGAGATTTTTAGGCAAAATTTAAAGTTCAATATTTTCAACAGGAATGAAAATTTTTGAACGCGGCTTGCAAATTTTAAGAGGTAGTTTTTTTCGGATTAAGCTACATGACGTTATATTTATCGTAGGACCATAGGTTTATTATAATACTGGGTGATCAAGGAAGTCATGCAAAAAATGTATGTGAAAGTTCGAGTGCCAGCAGTACCGTTAAAGGCATTATCCAAAAATTATCTTAAATTCAACAAAAACAACTATATTGGTACCACCGATCAAAATACTGGCACTAATAAATTTATTTTATTGCAAATATCTTAATTCTATAGATTATCTACGTAGTTGCTGGGGCTTATGATGGCAAAATACTTTGTGAACTAAGGGCTAGCCGCGAGCTTAGTGTGCATCCACTTACTCGCAACAGTTAAGCAGTGATCTCTCCGGTCACGTCGTGGATGGGTGACCGCTGGGAGGTTCCACCATGGGCCGTGTCATCCGACTAGCATTTAACCATCGACGACGTGGTATGAATGAATAAGGGTGTGAATGGGAAAGTAGTAGGACCTTTAAATGACGGTACAATAAGCCGCAGGCTGTAGTGCTGCCAGACTACAGACGGATTAGGATGTAGCACGGGAGGTCTGAAGGGTGTAAAACTAAAAAAAAGGGCTACAGTCAACATTTAATTTCTTATAGATTTCTTTATAAAAAAATAAGACTTAACGAATAAGGTAAACAATTTTAGAAGACCCGTAGTGTAGCAGATATTAAAAAATAACCTCTTCTAATTTGGGAACTTTAAAGTATACTGTGTTTATTAAGTCCTTTTATATTTTACTTTTTATTTGGGAGCATTAAAGATATTGTGCTTCACTATTAAAAGTTGTTTTTTACAAATAGGTATGAGCGCGTACATAGTACGTACATATTGATCTATTCATTTTCTTCTTTGGGATACTGTAGAATCGAAAAAAATAGAAATTAATATTTTACGGGTTATGTAATATTCAACTTAACATCTTGCGCTTGTTGTCCTTCGCCTTGGTACCAATGCTAATGACTAGCCTTGCCATGATGGATATATTATTCTTTTTAGGTTTATGCATATAACATATGACATATACTATTTAATTTCTTACTTTATTTAAGATAGTTATTAATTCATCACAAGTTATATGGTGTAGTTCTTGAACTATAATTTTGGTATTATAAGATGAGAAACCTATTGGGTATGTTTATAGAATAGTTTCTTTCATTATAATTTAAAGTGTTAAATATTGCAAATATTTGTTTTCTACATTTAAAGGAACACCAGTTTGAGGTTTGTCTTTTATTTCGTTCCTCATTTACTGATTTTGTTAGGAAATGCTAGCATAAACTGGCCAATATTGGAACTATTTCCGAAATTATTGTATAGCTATCCACCCTTAGCTACCGTCTAAACGACGTCGAAGGCCATAAGGTTGGCACAGGAGCAACCGAAACTTAGATGACCAAGTAGACGAAATTTGTATCAGTAAATTCTTTTTATTTGTTAAAGTTCAGTGTTAGGCAGTTTTCCTTACTGGAAGTTACGGAGTTTATTTGGTAGGTTACAATTCTTTTTAAATAGACAATTTCGTTTATTTGATATTTTAGAACTTTCATTGATTTTGTAACATCTAGAAATATACATCGCATGTTATTACCGTATAAATAATTGAAATTCGTTAAGATATTATTTTCGTACAATCGACCAGAGAATAATTGTTATTCAGATAGGTATGCATAATCTTAATGACTTTTTAATTGAAACACTGTACTCGTACTCAATATTATTAAACTTATATTAAACCTATTAGCACTGGGGGTGATGGTACAACATTTGGCATACAGCTGAAAAGAATTCAAATGAAAATGAAAGATCACGGATTTAGAAATCTAAATCCCGCATTTTGTTCGGAAATTCCCTTTCGACGTAAGTTAATAAAGGGAGTGATTTTTTTTTTCGGTACATTTGCCGATAAAACAGTGGGCTCGAGTGGTAAAAGTCTCACGAGAGCCATTTATTCATACCGTCATCGTATTTATAGGTATTATAGATTTTGTCGGCTGATTGAATGTTTATGTTGGCACGCTGTGGCACCCCACTGTCACACGTCACCCCCGTTGCCTCGCCGCGTCTATTCGATTCCATTCACTACGCTCTTTCACTTTTTTCTTTTTTATTTTCGGTGGGTCTCGAGGATTGGTTGAAATGACTTGATTTACAAGTTTATAAGTCACTATAATTTTTTTGTAAAGTGCTATAATAACATTAGAATGCAGAAGATGAGGAAGTTGAAAGAGCTATGATGTGTCACAAGAAACAGTTATAGGACTTTTTCTTTTTACTTTATCTATATATACCAGGGGTGGCCAACTTTTCTGTATATAAGCCCCTACTTTTTATCTTAAAATTTTATCGCGATCTACTTGTTGTCATAGGCGTAGTCTAAGGGGGAAGAAAGGGTGCGAAATGCACACTATGTAAAAAGGTCCTTATCAGCTTATATATTTTTTCGACACTTTCAAGATAGAGTTTTACTAACTTAAACCGCAATTTATTTGTTTTATCAACTGCAATGTGTAAGTTGAAATATGAAAAAATTGTTATAAAAATGTAGAATATGGTTGATAATTTTAAGTTTTGTCTTCTACAATCACTTCAAACTCCATGGTATACGGAATTCCTTCCCAAACATTGCGAGCGATCGACGATCGACCAAAATTGGCTTCGTGATCGACCGGTCGATCGCAATCGACTTGTTGGCCAACCCTACTATATACAGTTTGTTAGATAAGGACTTAAATGGTACCAAATGAACTTTGTCGATCACAACGCAATATTCTATTAGACTTTTTTCGAAAGTTAAAATGTACCTACGGTATATAAGGTGGTAATGTCCAAAGGAAGGATCGGTTTCGGTTGTAGTTTCGGTTGTAGTTTCAGTTTCGCCGGCAAACTGGCAGAAATTCCAGAAAGATACATTTCAATTTGCAAAACCGATTAAGTTAGCTTAAAATTCGAGATTAGAATTTCCCGAAGTTCGGTTGATGTGGGTAAAGGATTGCTAGCCTAATCCGAATTATCAACAATAAATCAGTCAAAAAATTACTTACTATAAAACTGACTGCAAAATTTACAAAATTAATAATAAAATTTATTAATAAAAGAAAAAACATTATAATATAGATACGTACTATCAGTTTAACACATTATGTAATCAATTAAAATATCTCCTATCGTCTCTACCATTGTTATAATAAATAATTATATTAATTTTAATGTATTTTAATGTATTTTAATTTTGACATATAAAGTTGCATAATGTTGAAAACTGGATAACTGGATAACTGGATAACTGGATAACTGGATAACTGGATAACTGGATAACTGGATAACTGGATAACTGGATAACTGGATAACTGGATAACTGGATAACTGGATAACTGGAAAACTGGATAACTGGATAACTGGATAACTGGATAACTGGATAACTGGATAACTGGATAACTGGACCACTGGATAACTGGATAACTGGATAACTGGATAACTGGATAACTGGATAACTGGATAACTGGATAACTGGATAACTGGACCACTGGATAACTGGATAACTGAATATCTGGATAACTGGACAACTGGACAACTGGATAACTGGATAACTGGATAACTGGATAACTGGATAACTGGATAACTGGATAACTGGATAACTGGATAACTGGATAACTGGATAAATGGATAACTGGATAACTGGATAACTGGATAACTGGATAACTGGATAACTGGATAACTGGATAACTGGATAACTGGATAACTGGATAACTGGATAACTGGATAACTGGATAACTGGATAACTGGATTATCGGATAACCGGATAACCGGATAACTGGATAACTGGATAACTGGATAACTGGATAACTGGATAACTGGATAACTGGATAACTGGATAACTGGATAACTGGATAACTGGATAACTGGATAACTGGATAACTGCTCTGCTCGTCCCATAAATATTCACTCGTTACAGGAAATAAGACATTTCTTAAGGGTTTCATAAGTAGCTATTGTATCGTGCTAAATTAAATGTAATAACTACTTTTAAAAATTTCATTTTTTAAGATTTTAACTGTTGCTTCCACAAAAGTTGTGGGGAAGAAGTGACAAGTGTAAAGTGACAACTGATGGATATTGATTTTCATGATTTTCTAGATTAAAAGATCCAAAGGGATTGAATTGATTCCGTTATGCCATCGCTGTCTCTATCAAAAGAGCCAGCCAGTCATTTTCAAAAATTTTACTAATAACGACCACAAAAAAAACTGTAAATAAAGCCCAAAATCATGAAAATAGTATAAAACACATTGCACTCATTTGTTTGTCCACTAGGTCCTTCATCGCTTGTGGCCAAATTTCGAATTCTTAATAAATAAAATATAATTTTTTTGAGGCTTTCGCGGTGGCGTTTTTTTGGTTCTCTTGTAGGAGCCAACAACAGCAGAACGAAATTAGTTATGGTCGTTTGAATATAAAAAATCATAAAATCAATTATCTTTCATTATGGTATAATTTATCTTATATTTCACTTTTATTTGAATCGCGCAACTGTTATCATTTGACCAAATTTTAGGTTAGAGAAGATGGACACAACATTGGTGTTGTCATCAATTATCACTTGTCTTTCACAACTTCTTTTCATTGTTACAAACAAATGAGTCCAATTTCTTTATTCTACTACAGTGCATTTATTTTTATTAATATAATAAACTAATTTGCAGTTTTTTTTAAAAATCAAAATCAAGTTGTGCTTATGATACTTATAACAACTTGAAAATTAGTCTTGACAAACTTTCTTCATCATAATACAACATCATATTATATACATAACAACTAACGACAAGCTCCTACAGTACTCTTGGTACAGAACAGAAGTTCTTGAAACTTTTTTTCTTCGCTCATAGAATGTCTGAAAATTAAAATATCTTTAATTTTATAATAAGTTTGAATTTTCTGATCTTGAAGTTTGTCCCAAATCGTTAAAAACACCTCAATTTGAAGGAGCTGACACTAGGCAATCACAGACGACCAAAAGGCAGTAGCCTAATTTAATAGTTTTTATTTTGACAAATTGGAAAATCAGTTTTGATCATATTAACATCCTATAGCCATAACAAGTAACTAACAACTAATAACAAGCTTCTACAGACACCTTCTTCATTTCTGTTACTAGACGTTTCGTAAATGCAGAGCCACTATCAAATTCTTTTTTTGAGTACGGATCTGTGTTGTCCAAACAACAAATTTCAATATTGAATATAGCCCTGTTATTTCCAAAAATTTTAAACAACTAATTCAATTTTGGGTACTGCTCTGTTATTAAAATTATTGATATTAATATAAACCAACGCAACGTTTCAATTAAAAAGTGACCACCCTGTTTAATAAGACCTCTATTTCTAAAACGAAAAACATTTTACTTGTTTGTCTGTTTGATGCAATCATTATATTTTGAGTTGTTTTAAATTTAGTTAGTCCTATTAGTACCTAATGAGTCGTTTTTAATTTAGAATAGTTTATTTCAGAGTAAAACAATTTTATTTTAAACAAAATATGGATCATTTTACCACTACAACTGAATCTGTTATACCCGATATACATATAATATATATGGAATGGATGGCAATTCTAGCTCCCCGAAAAGCTAAGTAATTATGAAATTTATGCTGATTCTGCGTCTTAGGGCCGTTTGCACCACTTCAACTTACGATTACGGTTTAGCTAAGGTGTACCTAGACTTAAGGTGAACCTTAAGTTTGGTATGTTTTGCATAGGTTTCACTTAACAAAATCTATGCTAAGGTAAAGAACAACTTGGCAGCAGTGTAAAATTTTAGAGAATTTGTATATAACTAATCAATGTCAGTGTCGAATTGTCATCTATTTGATTAAAGTTTGTGTTGTAATTTTGCATTTTGTACTTTAACAGTTAAGATGGAAAATAAAACAAAATTAAAAACTGAAACCAAGCGTGCACCAAACTATTCAGTTATAGAAAAGAGTTTATTATTAAACATTCTATACCTATCAAAACTTTCAAAATATTGCGTTCTGTGATAAATATGTCGAGATATCCCAAAAATAATTAAATTTAACTCATCAAAATCGTCATCATCATCGAAAATATGTTCCAAAAATTCCATTTATACTTTATTTCGGCCACACTTTTATCTAATTCTAATTATATTATTTTCTATTGGTAAACATATTAAAGTTGTCAGATTGACGTTAAAAACACGCAAAGTAGAACTTAAACCGATGATACCTTCGGCTTAGTTTCACTATTACTTAAGTACAACTTAAACTATTTGGATTGTGGTCAGAAAATGAAATGTGCAACTTAGGTGATACTCAAAGTTAAGGTTCACCTAAGAGGAAGTGGTGCAAACGGCCCTTTGTCGGGGCGCACTCTTCGAATTACAACAAGATTTACAATATTACCTTGATACGCTACTCCTAATTCTAATTTATCTGCCAAGGGAGTCCGGACGGAATTTCCCTTCTCCTAACTTTCGCCGAAATCTATTTGAGATATGACTATTGTGTTACGCGTTAACGGTTACAGGTCCCATTACAATCGTAAAATTAAATTATGACATTTATAATGGGCGCAGGATGATCCCTCCCGATTTATATATAAGTATTTGAAACGCGTGAATGTTTTACAACGATATTCTCTCACCTGATGCTACATTCACAATGCACAGAGAAATTAAGATAAGATGTACCACAGTTATTTTCATTCTAATGCTTCAAAAACTTATACTACTGTAAAACTGTCGTAATATAATGGGGAAGATTGAAAGAAAATGAGGACAGGCTGAATTTTTGATAGTAAGAAGATTATCCATCTCTCATATGTCAAACGTCCAGAAGAAGAAAAGTTAAAAGTCTTAACCACAAAAAATATAGGGGAGACTGGGGTATAATGATCCCCTTAAGGCTAATTTCGTTATATTTTTGCAAATACAGGGATATAAATTTATTTGCCTTTTCTAGAGAATTTGGTGTCCATTTGACAACAATTTAGTATTTAAACAATGATGTTTGTTAATATCTGCAAAAGGATCATTTTACCCAAATGCTAGAGCTAAAACGATCCCCTCACATGGGGCAAAATGATCCTATTTTCAAAATATTATTTTAATACTACACTTTCGATAAATAATATAACAATAAATGCAAAACATTAGTTTATTTATTAAAAAAGCATAAAACATAACATACAAAGTGTAGCGACATGCACTACATATCTTTATCATTTTTATTACGTCATACGAATTAAATTGTTGTCATCCTTTAGACAACTTTTCGTGGCAGTTCTAGCAAGGCAAAAGGTTGAACTCATTGGGAGGGAAATAAGAATTGTTTATTTATAATTATGACTTTTGGTTTTTTGATAATTTATATACATGTCATGACATCGAGTTTTATTATACGAAATTATACTTTTATAAGTACATTTTTATTTATTGATGGAATACAATTATTACGAAGAGTATTATTATTAACATTTAAAAGATCCCACAATTTATTTGCGTTTCGTTAATTTGTACGTTATTTTCGTAATTAAGTCGTCATGATTAGAATTGGTCATTTGTAGAGTTTATTAAATAAATAGCTTGTTAAAGTGTTATTAACATGGTCAAAAATATAAAAATATTGTTAAAAATGATAACTAATGATAAAAATAATGAATATCTTCAATTCGTGGCAGTCAGCGACAAAAAGATTAAACTCACCGGGTTTAATGTTCCAAAGGGTTGCGATATACGATGTAGTATACCTACAATACGCGAAATCATGGATAATGGATTAAATTTAAACATTTTATATCGAACACAATGAAAACCGATTATACATTTTTCATAAATTGGTAAGCTTGGCGACTACGTTTTCGATAAAAGTAGCGTCCAATATGGAAGGCTATATCGCAACCGCCTTAGATATACGAGCCCTTTCCACTAGCAGCTATTGTTTAACAGGATTCTATAATCTGCTAACTAAATGGCGTAATGTAACTTAATATATCAGTTATTTGACATTGACAGTTTGGCACTTAAATAACCTCAATATGAAATTGTTGTAGAAAATAAAAATACAATGACATAAAGTCAAAACTTAAAGGACTATGTCCAGATTCTGTGAGGAGGACGACGAAACTTCCGTTCACATTGAATGTGTAGCACTACAGAATTCAAGGATATCAGAAAAACTACCAAATTTTTTCAAATTAAAATGACAATTTGATTGTAGTACTACAGGTAATCATTTTTTCGAATAAAAAAAAGGATCTTATAAAAATGAAATGGCTGTTCTATTAGAGTTATACACTATGAGAGAGCTCTCTTCAACTAACAAAATTTTAAGTATGCCACGGACTTTGCACTTTTCTAAAATTTCCAAATTTTTGAATTAACGCGTTCACGGGTCCAAATCCGTCCAATGATTAGTTTTTTAAATTAAAGTTGAAAATTGATAATTTTTTTAAAATGAAGCAATTCTTTGATTATAAGCCTACCTATTTTCATTACGGAACACAATAATTCGAAATCATTATGAACCGAAAAGGACTAAATTATATCTATATAGGTACCTTAAAAAAAATACATGGACAAATGTTTAGCTTAATTATCACAGGTAAGATCGCAGGAGGTGACAATTTTTGGGAATATTTTGATGATTTTTTGGAAATTATGCGACTAAATTTCATGAAAGAAGATACTCCTTAAAATATTAAGAGACGTCAGTCGAGTATTTTGGGAAGATTTCAAGAGGATTTTGTTGAGTGAAACTTGCATAATTAGAATAAATATCAAAATGTTCTCAAAAAAAAAAAATCTCACCTCGGGTGGTATTTGGAAAGATTATATAACAATATAAACCGTACTCTTATATACAAAATTAGCTTTTTTTTTCATGAAATGAAGTCGATTATGTATTTAAAATGTATATTTCAACAACCTAAACGATTTATATCCATTTCTCGTCACCTTTTTAACAAACTTTACATTGACGTTTCGCAGCATGCAGTGTTTTCAGATGCAGTTTGTTTTGATTTGCATGTGTTGGAATACAATATGATTGCCATTGGTTGATATATTATAGTTATAGTGTTAAGTATGTAGTTTTTTAGAATTTGTGAGCCTAGTTTGACATTTCTTGGAGGAAACTTTTCTGCACTGTCAACTATATAGGGTGTTCCTATCTATTAAATTAACTAAATCATTTCAGATTTTAAGTTAGGTTCACAAATTTTGGCTGTGTCCATCTCTGTATAATGCTAGACTAGATGTAATAAGTAGAATTAAATTGGATAATAATATATGAGTATATCATAATTTTCTAAAAAACCTAAGAATTATGGATTTTTTGTCAATACTGTTAGTTTTAGAAAGATAAATCGCCTATAAACTCCATCTTGTACACACTGTATACTCACAAGAGTATCAATTTCTCATCTCTCCCTATTTTTAGCTCATTTTAAATAGTTTGTTACGCATCTAATTCGTATATGGCCTTTAGGACATAGAACGAGTCCGTAATAGTATTTTGTCCAGTCAACCGTGCAGCTATTATTTATTGATAGGACGTCCGATTACTATGTTTTTCACAAATTGATTCTCAGCATTATAATTTATGTAAATTGACACCACTAATGATACCATAAATAAAATCTCACAAAAGACACTAGTTTGCATTAAAACGGAATTACATACGAACACGGAGAATCTAGGGATATTATTTAATCGTCTTCGATACATGGATAACAATTTTAAACTATTTGTTATGGTAGATATACTTACTCATTATCTTAAACCGAAAATCCATCTCTGTATAGGTAGACTAAGCTACAGCACTTTATTCTCTATTCAAGGTTTTTCAGAATCTTCCTTTTCTATTCTCCGCAATTTTCAAGGATTCATAATTTTCCTGGCTCCATAATTTTCCTTGTTTCATAATTTTTTTGGCTTTATAATTTTTCTGGTTTTATAATTCCTCTATCTTTTTAATTTCATTGGCTTCATATTAAATTACAGCCTTTATTCACGTAATAACAAGAGTGACTACACATATTATAAAAAATATGTACACTGAACTTAAAAAGAACCAACAAACTTGCGTTAAGAAAACATATTACTACATACTTATACTATTGGTACTTTGTACATCTAGACTAGGCTAGTAGGCATCGTAGAGATTGCCCTTTATTTACATTAGCAAGTATTAAAGGGGTTCTGTTTCGTGGTCAAAGTTAGAATTTATAAAATTTTCTATTGCCATTGACCGGCAAGTATTGTGAAAAGACGACGTTTGCCTATGGGAGGCATGTTAATAGTTTGGTAGTCAGAGGCAGGCTCAAAGGTAAAATATGGATGGTTTGAAGATTGGAGACCAACTCGTTTTGTTTTGTGCTGGATAAGACGTTGTCACCTCCCTTCTTACTTCAAACACAATGGACTCGTCTGTTTATAGACACGGTGTGGTCACTGGGATTGGATTTTTTATCATGAAAAATTTTTAAGTTCTTGTGTAAAACGAGAGAGTTATTGTTATCTGTGAAATTCACTATGGATTACTGTTACTAGGCGGGTTGGTGTCAGTGATCTTTTTTAATATTTACGAAAATATATTTTGATTCAATTGTGTTGGAGCGAGAAGACAGTTGTAATTTAAGAGACAGAAGATGTGCCTTTTTAAATGTGCCATGTTGCTGAGTAAGCTTTGAATGAAAGAATTTTTAGTATTTTCTTATGCACATGCCCGACCTGGGAATGCTATAAATAAATTGAGCGATATATACTACGAAATTTAAACATCTTTTCCCTGCAATAAGATACATTTTTAGATTTGTCGTTCTATTTAATAAAGATAATTTCATTGTAAAAAAAATGTGCTAAGCATAGAGCTTGTAGCACCCCTGTTTATGACCCTTAATTCTGACAATCTGATTTTTACCGGTTAAGTTTGTTTTATTAATATTTTGTTAGTTATTTAGGATGCTAAAGATATGGCAAAGATGACGTCTTCAGTAAAGTAAAATTCTACATGATTTATTTATACATATTTACCGTCTAAAATATTGCTGAACTAAAAAAATGTATGGAACAAAAGCCTAAACCTAATTATGAAAATTAAAGTGATTTAAACTAATAAATGTGGCAAGAGATATAGGTATATGATATGATCGCATACATAAATTTGCACTATAAATAAAATATGAGAGGAATAAATTTGTAATCATAAGCAATATTTTGATTATAAATATAAATTGTATTATGCTATGATAATTAGCAAATGTTTATAAAATATAAAGTGCTACATATAGATATTATTGCTATAAATTATTTTATGACAAACAAACTCAATTAATAACACAAATAGAGTTTAAATGCAAAATACATTGAGCGACTAAATTATGGAATAAAATATTTTTTTTTTAATATTGAGGAAAATCTCGAAATAGGTTGATTTTTAATGGGTATGCATGTCAAAGAGGTTATGTACGAAATTTAAATGCAAACATTTATTGGAGTGATTTAGATTTTTAGTCCATTTAAAATAATGGTAAAAGGTCGAGAAACGCCGCACTTGACGAGACCACTTGTCCCCTACGTATTTTTGGGGCGCTGATTACAAAAATCGGGGTTAAAACTTGCAACAATGGTTGAACCATCCCTAAAATTGCAAAAAACACTCCCGTAATCAGCGCCATAAGAATAGTAGTTAATATTAGTTTGTA